CTAAACCAGACTAAACTTCGTCCAGTCGCCTGCTGCACCAACCAGAGTTCGTTTAAACGTTAGAAACAGCCTGAAGTTAGAAACGTTAAACCAAACCTGGATTAAACCTGGATTAAACCTGGATTAAACCTGGATTAAACGTCAGATCTGGTTAAATTCGTCTCTTAGTCTGAACTCAGATCAGCTGAACTTCTGTTGCACCAAACTTTGAATTCTACTTTAAATCGACTTCCTTTAAGAGACGACGAACTGGAGAAACTCCTTTATTCTCCTTCAGCTGTTGATCACGTTCCATCAGTGGCCTCCTGATTCCTCCTCCTCATCTTCCTCCTCCTCCTCATCATCCTCATCTTCCTCCTTCTCATCTTCCTCCTCATCTTCCTCTGCTCATGCTCCTCCTCTTTGTCGTCCTCCCAGTCCTACTTCTGCTCTCCTTTTTCTTTCTCCTCGTCTTTGTCTTCCTTCTCGACCTCCTTTCCTGAAGAAAGAAGGAGGAGGAGGAGGAGGAGGACCAGGAGAGGAAGGTGGAGGAGAAAGAGGAGGTGGAAGAAGAAGACAATGACTAGGAAAGAAGGAAGAGAAACGAAGGACAGAACAAGGAGGAATGAAAGAGGAAAGAGGGAGGAATATTGTGAGCTCGGAGGCGGAGACGATACAGAATAAAGGAAGAATGGAGGCCAGAGGACTGAAGGACGAGCAGAGGTTCAGGAAGGTGTGAAGGTGCTTCGAGGTCGCACAGGAGGTTTTGGCCGACGTCCACTAGATGGAGCAGTTCAGTGAGCCTCCAGTCAGCGCTGCTGCAGCGAATCAAACGCACCCGTCAGGGCGCTTCATGCATGTTTACCGGAGGAGGTGTGTTTGATTTCTGTCCCCGGACACCTCGAGCCGCCTCACGTCTCTGCGCTCGTTTTCGCTGAACTTCCAGGATTAGGTTCTGGTCTGAACAGCACGTGTTGCTGCTCCACAGTCCAGCCTGCTGGTTCCAGACGCTGGGATCTCCGCTAGAACCATGAATTAGGTTCTGTGGGTTTGGACATCGTGAGGCCTGTTGGGGGGATGAAGAGCCTCATTTAAACCTCCCTCCTGCTTTTTCCAGCTGTTCTGAATGTATTTAGGGTTTTCAGGCCCGAAGGCGACTTAAAAAACAAAGATAGGAGCCGGCGGTCGGACAGGTTCATGACTCACAGGTGGGGAGTTATTTAAAGAAGCCACCGGTGCAGACACGTTAATGCACATAATACACAGAGCTCAGGCTTTATAAGGCAACTCAGAGCGCTGAGCTCACCAGGCGTGAGCCCAGTGTTTTTACAAAGAACATGTCGACAACCGACGAGTCACACACACACACACACACACACACACACACACACACACACACACTTTCCCCCGCAGTGATGATGTCAGAGCGGCTCAGGGAGAATCCCAGACGTCTGATTAAAGCAGGAAGCTTCGCTGTGTAACTCTGCGTCTTCGCTGCTTCCTCTACAGTCAAACCTGACTCGGTTCTGCGGGTTCTCGACGTGATTGGGGGGGGGGCAGTGTGATGTAATCACAGCGAGGATGACTCCCAGGAAACAACAAACACACCGCTGGCAGAACAGATGAGCGTTGTGGTGTCAGAATGTGTCACATTCGGCGTGTTCGTCTGCTTGGGAACCTTTAGGTTCTCCTGATGCTGCGTGAACCTCACCTCCGTCTAGAACCCCTTAAAGCGTTAAAACCGTCTCTGACAGCTTCTTAGAACCCCAACATCATCGGTGAAACCACAGCTGGTCTCATTCAAACACTCCTAGAACCTGCAGTAAAAACCTGCAAGAACCTGCTTGGACACCTCTGAGTCCTCCTGCAGGTATGTAGAGAACACATAACCCCCTTCTAGAACCCCTTAAATCACTAGAAAAGTCTCTAGGACTGGTCTAACACCATTTGTGACACATCTGATCCCATTAAAAGCCCTAGAACCCACCACTACATTGGAAACCCTGTAGAACCTTGTTAGAATCTGCTTAGGAACCTTTAAATCAGTAGAAACTCAGTAGGACCTTCTTAGAACCAACTGAATACTGTTAAATACGACGCAGAACCACTGTTTCCTAATCCAACCCTGCGTGAGTACTCTTAACAACAAACCCTTTAGATTCTTGTTAGAAAAAAAAGTCTTGTTCAGGAACGTGTCTCCTGATTAAAGTCTCCCAGTGAAGCCCCACAACACTGGAAATTCCTTAGGATCTTCTTAGAACCAAGTCAATTCTCTAAAGTCAGACGTGGAACTGCATTTTAAAGCTACTAGAACATCTCAAAGGATGAGAACCTCCGTATAATCCATTGGAGCCCCTTAAAATGCGACGTGGAACCACCTTTTCCCCTCTTAACCCCACGCTAGCCGTGTGAAAGCATCAGACACCCTTTAGAACCGTGTTGTAACATGTTGTAATCCCGTCAGTGATCTTGCTCAGAACATACTCCTCCTGCAAATCCTCCTAGAAAACACCCAGACAGGTCTTTGGAACCTCCGCAGAACCCATTGGCTGCAGATAAAATCACATACAGGGTCATTAGAAAATTGCTTACAACGTAGCCCCCTTTGTAAATCCCCTTAGAACCCACTAGAACCCATTAAGTACCCTACAACCCTCTTTACCGGCTCCTACAACACCCCAAAACTTAACAAGTCCTTTAGACTCTTGTTGGAACTTGCTGGGAACAAGTCAACTCCATCAATAATCTTGTGTAGAACTCGTTCGTGGGGACCGTTGCCGCCTTGTGGTTGTACTGTGGTTGTGCAGTCTGGGTTTGCCAACGTCCCAAACAGCCGATCGATTGATTGATTAGATCGATTCAGCTTCATCAGTGTGATTATTTCCTGGTTTCTTTCCTCCTCCGTGGCGTGAGCTGAACATCTTTTGGCAAAACAAGACATTTGTTATTTTGGGTTTTCGATTGTTTTCACCATTTTTGGTGTTTTGTGGACCAATCAGCTGGTCGATTGCTGGTGTAAAGACTCAAAAAGGCCGAAATCCTGCGATTGCAGCGTCTTAAATGTGAATATTTAATCTTTGATTTTTGCCATTTTCACCATTTTCGATGCTTTATAGACCAAACAGCTCATCGATTGTTTGAATAATTTCTTTAAAAAGTTGAAATTCACTGATTGCAGCTTCTTAAATGTAAATATTTCTGTTTTTTTTCCTCTTCTGTGACAGAAAACTGAAAATGTTTTGATACTTTTGGCAAAACAAGACATTTGTCGTCTTGAGTTTTTGATTTTTGTCACCGTTTGTGGTGTTTTATGGACCAGTCAGCTGGTCGATTGCTGCTTTCAATACTAAAACAGGCTGAAATTCACTGATTGCAGCTTCGTAAATCTGATTTTTTTCATGGTTTCTTTCCTCTTCTGTGACAGCAAACTACAAATCTCCTGACAGAACAAGACATTTGTCGTCTGGAGCCTGTGACATTTCCAAGCGGCTGATATCCGGCGCTGACAACGGGAGTGCGTTCCCCTTTTTCGTCTGCCGGGGCGGCTCTCAGAGGTTTGGGTGTCGTACAGCAGGAACCACACGACGAGGCGAGACGGCACAGTCATGAACCACGATGCCAACCAGACTAAACACATGCCGAGTGTCAGACGGACAGACTGACTGATAGACGGCCAGACAGATGGACAGGAGAGTCACCGGCGAGATCCAGTTCATCCAAGAATTTTTCCCCTCAACACTCATTCACAGCCGACCGTGGGAGGAGGGAGGGATAAAGGAATCCCAGCTTTGCTCCATTAACAGCCAAACGGAGGGAGGGAGGGATAAAGGGAGGACGGAGGGAGGGAGGAGGGAGGAGGGAGAAGGTAAAAGTTGCTATGAGTCACGGAGCAGGATGGGAGGAGACTGGAGGAGAGAGAGGGATGGAGGAGGAGGAGGGAGGAGAGAGGTATAATTATGGTGGGAGGCTGCCAGAGCGAGAGAGAGAAGAAAGCAGAGGAGAGCGAGTCCAGCCCACTCCGCTAAAACCATTCAACTGGTGCGAGTCCACACAGAGGCAGGAACCGAGGCAGCGAGGAACTCCCTCCGTCTGGAGAACTTCTGCCTTCACCCCAGGAACAAGGATCCTCCTGCAGCAGCTTCTCCGTCGCTGCTTTTCCACCATCCATTCATCACATCGCAGACTTTTTCTCCTTTTTTTTTTTTTCCCTTTTTCTTCTTCTTGTTTTGTTTTCTTTTTTCTTTCTTTCTTTCTTTCTTTCTTTCTTTCTTTCGTTCTTTCTTTCTTGTGACGCCTCCACATTTTCCAGCCATCTGTCCCTGACAAAAAAGATAAGGATTACTCATTTTCTCTCGGCGTTTTTTTTTTTTTTTTCCTTCTTCTTCTCTTTTTTGTGTCCTCCTCTCTCTCGTTTCTTTACAGCTTTTTTTCCCTCCATTTCGCAGGTGGACTGTGAGCTGAGCTGAACTTTGCAGCTTCCAAACTTCTGAGGAGAGAACGAGAGAGAGAAGACAAAGACAGTCAGAAAGAGAGAAGCCAGAGGAAGCAGGGAAGCTCAGTTTCACGCTCAAGACTCTCCTCTCTCCACCCAGGACTCGATTTTTGCTCACTTTTGTCCACAAACCCGACTTTGCTTCACCTTTTTCCGGCTCCGCTCGCGCATCTGCATCCGACAGCATCAGCGAACGCAGCCAATCAGGAGGCGTCATGTCAGTGCTGCCTCTGCTCAGCTGGAGCCTCCTGCTGCTGGTGCAGCTCGGCGCCGCCTCCGACCTGCAGCCGCTGTCGCTCCATCCCCACCGCCAGCCCGACGCCGCCGCCCACTGCCCCTCCTGCGCCCTCGCCAGGATGCGGAGGAACGAAGGGATTGCGGCGGCGGCGGCGGCGGCGGACGACCTGGCGGGACTCGAGGAGGAGGAGACGGCTCAGCAGGACGTGGTGGAGGCGGTGAAGCGGCACATCCTCAACATGCTGCATCTGCAGGCGCGGCCCAACATCACCCGGCCGGTGCCGCGCGCCGCGCTGCTCAACGCCCTGCGCAAGCTGCACGTGGGGCGAGTGGCGGAGGACGGCAGCGTGCAGATCGAGGAGGAGGAGGCCCGAGGGAGGGCAGGCCGGGGAGGAGCGGGGGGAGGAGCGGCGGCGGCGGCGGCGGCGGCGGCGGCGTCACGGGCCGACGGCGGCGACGCTCAGGAGACCACCGAGATCATCACCTTCGCCGAAGCTGGTGAGTGCACACACCCCCCAGAGACACAAGTGTGTGACCTGCAGTGTGTGAGAGCATATTTACATGTGATGTACTGGAGTGTGTGTGTGTGTGTGTGTGTGTGTGGGAAGCACATATTTGCATGTGTTACAGTTTGAATGACAAAAATGCAGCTGTGTTAAAGAGACACGTAGAGAAAAACACAGACGACAGGACGTGTGTGTAACTGGGATGACTCGTGGTGTGTAACTGATGTTTACCTGTGTGTGTGTGTGTGTGTGTGTGTGTGTGTGTGTGTGTGGGCAACCGCCGAGACACAAGCACATATTTGCATGTTACAGTTTTGTGTGTTTGTGTGTGAATGACAAAAATGCAGCTGCATCGGGATCAGCTTATGTGTGTGTGTGTGTGTGTGTGTGTGTGTCCACCTGCTTAATTCCACCTGCGTACTCACTCAGCCACACACACACACACACACACACACACACTAACCTCTGTAATGGCCTCCTGCTGCTCTCAGAGAATACCTCGTTATCTACTTAAAGTCAGAGGGGATTTGTGCGTCGCTGCCTGTGTGCGTCTGTTGTTGTGTGTTTTTTCCTGAAGAACGTTTTCCTGGCAGAGGGTAGCCGCAAACAGCGAGCCGGCAGTCGGGCCGGAGGGCGAAGGTCAGGCGTTAACTGCCGCCTTCAGCCTGCAGACGAGCCGCAGGTCCCACTTGGCCCATTCCGCCGTGTTTTCAGCGCCTCTGCGTCCGGGTCGCTGCCGGGTCACGACGCTCGCACTCGTGAGCTTTTTCCTGCAGGCAACGTGTCTGAAAAAGTACAGCCGGTGTCCCGGGAATCCCTCGTATCTCCTGTTGTTTCTGGCTGCGTGTTCGTCCCGTCGCTTTGTCCGCTCAGGCGTCTCCTCAGGCTGCAGCTCAGCCGAGTTGAGACGAGCTCTGAGCAGGCAGGAGGCCCGATCCGACAGCGGTCTGATGGTGAGACTCTGATCAACAGGTTTCACTGGTCCTCCTGCTGTGAAACCGAGACAGAAAGCGTTCCCACCCTGAACTGAAACGGAGCAAATGGGGGCATAAAGCAGGAGTTTCAGTGTTTGCTGCTCAGAACTTCCCCCCAGTGCGTCCCTGCAGTGTCCAGACTAAACCTGAAACCCGCCAAGTCACCTGTGTGAGCTAATTAGCGCAGAGTTAAGCGAGGCGAGATCAGCAGCAGCTCCACCTGTCAGTCAGCCGAGTGGGCGGGACCTCCTTCCTCCTCTGGATTCTCTGTCGGAGTTTCTGTAGGCGAGAGTCTGGAACAGCAGATGGAAAAGATTTTTATGAACTGGATCTGTGCAAACAGGCTGAGAGGAGCAGCTTTATTGAAAGGAAAACACAGAATTTAATGCCATTTGAGGAGCTCCTCGCCGTCCATAAATCTGCTGTCAGGAACAGCCGATCGGATCTGTCAGATCTGGCCGATGTTTCTGTTTGGACGGTTTGTGGCTGGTGTCAGAATAAAACTCTTAACTAACCACAATAGTAAAATCACATCCAAGTTCTGGACTGACAGGATTGTTTCCCTCCATCCTACACTTAGAACTCATCTGTAGCTGAAAACTCTGGAAAAATCTGAATCTGATGGTTTCTTTTTTCAGCCACTAGGGGGCGTAAACACTCCCGGCGCTGGTATGTCGTCCCTTCATGAAGTCGCTGTGTCTAATTCAGACTGGACGCAGTGCTCAGTGTGTTTTTGCTCCGCCTTTGGTCTCCTCCACCTCCTGACGGTCGCATCCGGCTCTTCAGCTGCACTTTGGTCACCACACGTCTCAAACTAATTATCAGACGTCCATCAGTCGTTAGTAATTCAAACACAGGAGGCAGAAGAAGAGGAGCGTGCATGTGGACAGGTGTTGATCAGCTGTGCTTCCTGGTTCCTCCACCAGGTGGAGCCTCTCACTGGTGTGTTTGCTCTCGTGTGTCTTTTTGTGGTTGTTTTGCGTCTTGCGTCGACTTTTAGTAATTGTGAGTCTCTTTCTGGTTGTTTTTTTTGTCCTTTCGTGGTTGTTTTGAGATTATTTTTGGTGTATTCCATCTCTGTAAGCTGATTCTGTGTCTTCCCGTGGCTGTGTTTCGATATTCTTTGCATCTCTGAGGCCGTTTTGCGTCAGTTTTTAGTTATTTCGTGTTGGTTCTAATATAGGGAGTTTAATTTAAATGTATTTGAACCGACAGGTAGACGCTTGTTTTTGTTCCTCCTCTCTGGTCTCCATGGTTCTGCTGACTTCTCTCTCCTCCTTCATGGTTCTGGTTCCTCAGAGCTGCAGGACTTTATGCTGAAACATGAACCTCAGTGAAGGAACAGGAGCTAAAAAAAAGTCTCGTTGGCGATGAGAACCAGGAGCGCCGTCCCCGTGTTGTGTTTGAGACGATCTGGAATCTGTGAAACCGTCTGAAAACAAAGAATACGAAGAAACGACTAAAAGCGCCGCGGCTAAAAAAGTCCTCGCCACGTTTCACATGTGAGCCCCGTTGTTTGTGTATAAGATGTGGCCGGACCTGCCGTGAGAATACTTTGCACCCAGCCGGTCCTGGGCTTTGTTGGGAATAACTGATGCGTTCAGGGACCTCGGTAATTATTTTGGGCGACAGAGATGGCAAGTAGAGGAGCGGAGGGACGACTGGATTCTTGGCGGAGGCGAAGTGTCAACCTCCGTTTGGCGACTCCGACACAATATCTATCTGTCCGCTGTTTTCTTTCTGTTTAAATTCCTCCCGTCCGTCCCTGTTTATCTTCCCCCTGCTCCCCCCTCCTCCCCCCGCGCACAGAGGACAATTAGGCTAATTGAACTTAATTGAACACATCATTAGCGACATTCCACAATCCGCTTTCATGTGCCTCGCTGTAACCTCGGCCTACCCTCCGCCGCGCTGGCAGACGGAATAAGCCGGTCATTGTTGGTTCTATTCTGGTGGTCGGTCCGTCTGCGGATTCAAACCGGCAACCGAGCTCAGGCTCAGGTTCACTGACCTCCGGCGGCTCCGAATGAAAGCAGCTGATGGACGGACAAAAAAACGTCTGAAAATAAACGACAATTAGCATGTTTACTTTCTCGTCCCGCCGCCGCTCCGTTTGATCCGCTCTCTTCTTCTCTCATCTCGTTCTTGGCTCCGGCTCTTCTCCTGTGTTTATTCGTTCTCTGCTGCCTTTGTTTTCGCTCCGTCCTTTTCATCTGCGCAGCCTCCCCACGTAGAATGATCACGTTCCCCAAACGTTCCACCGCCGTTCCACCGGTGTTTCCAGCTGGACGTCGTCTCTCAGCTCCCGGAATGTTCTTCTGGACGGCGGGACAACTGAAGACGATTTGGAAGCGTTTGGTTCTGAAAACCCGGGGGCGTTCTTGGGGAACGCTGTGTGTGTTCTCTCAACATCTTCAGAACATTGCAGCCATGATGTTCCACCTTTGCTGATGTATCACAGCACAACAACGTCTTTCCTTTGCTGTCATCGTGGAAGCGTCCTGGAGAAGAACGTTCCACCGTTGATACTTCACATCAAGCGTTGCTGTGCGGAAACATTCTGTCATCTGAGGCCTCGATAACATCTGGAGAACATCACGGGAGTGTTGGTTTGAGAACTGTCTTTCAAACGTCCTCAGAACATTGCAGCAGAACGCTTCACCTTTGTTCGTGTATCGCAGAACGTCTCACAGAAGAACGTTCTGTCTGAGGTCTGGTCACTTCTTGAGAACATTCTCTTAACGTTGCTTTGAGAACGTCCGTCCTTTGTGGGAACGTCTCACAGAAGAACGTTCTGTCTGAGGTCTGGTCACTTCTCGAGAACATTCTCTTAACGTTGCTTTGAGAACGTCCGTCCTTTGTGGGAACGTCTCACAGAAGAACGTTCTGTGATGTGTTCCCTCGTCAAACGTCCTCTGAACATTTTTCACATCACATCACAGGAACGTTTTTTTTAAAACCATCCGAGGCCTCGACAACATCTGGACGACATTTTTTAAACGTTCTCTTTGTCGTCGTGGAACATCATCTGCCAACGTCCTCTGAACGTTGAGGTGGAAACATTCTGTAAACTTTACAGGTTGTTTGAAAGGCGGTATTTATAAACCGATGGGAACGCGTTGGTCATGTTGTCCAACGTTGTGGGAACGTTCTCTGCCAGCTGGGTTTCCTTTTTTATCTTCTTTCTTCTTCTCTCGTCTCTTTCTTGGCAGCGACTGCTCTCCCGTGTTTACTCCGCTGCCTTTGTTTGCTCGGTCTCGCCGCTCTGCAGCAGGTTCTGTGCGTGTTAATAGTGTTTACAGAGTCCGGGCGGTTCGCTGGTTTGAATCCTCGGTTCTTTCCTCCCCGTTCCACCACATCGTTTGGCTCGCCTTTGATGTGTGACCAGAGATGCTCTACGTCTGCAGAGATGAATCACTCGGTAGTAAACAGCCACAGATTGTGTCCAGACCCGCTGCACACCAACACACAAACCGGTTCTGAGGGGGGACGTCTGAGGACGGTCCTCGTGGTCCCGCCGGGATGCCGCTCGGCCTTCTTCGGGAAAATCAAAGAGACGTCCGTGAGGCGTCTTGAGGGTTTTGATCTGAGAGTGACAGAGTAGACCTGCTGCTGGAGGACAGTAGATGGACGCCGTCGTCACGGTTACATAGAACTGATCCCGTTGGTCGGGTACCGCAGGGGAACTGTTGAACTGTTTCCTTCACTCTGTTTATTTTTCCTCACTGTAGGCTCGTTTCTCCTCAGTATGGGCTCATGTTTCCTCACTGTGAGCTAGTTTTCCATCATTATCGGCTCATTTTTCCCGCCGTAGGCCGACTTTTTCCCCACTGTGGGCTCATGTTTCATCATTATGGGCTCATGTTTCCTCACCGTGGGCTCATGTTTCCTCATTATGGGCTCATGTTTCCTGCCGTGGGCCTACTTTTTCCCCACTGTGGGCTCGTTTCTCCTCACTGTGTGTTCATATTTCCTCACCGTGGGCTCGTTTTTCTTCACTGCAAGCTAATTTTTCCAG